TTCTTTCAGCCCACCCAGATTTATTCCAAGAATAGAACAAAATACAGGTAGTCCTCCACTTACAACAGTTCATTTAGTGACCGTTCGAAGTTACAACGGCACTGAAAAAAGGGACTTATAACCGGTTTTCGCATTTACGACCGTTGCACCATCCTTATAGTCACGTGATCAAAATTTGGGTGCTTGGCAACCGGCCTGTATTTATAACGGTTGCAACGTGTGATCGCCATTGGCGAGCTTCCCAGCCGGCTTCAATAGGGGATACCGGATTCACTTAGCGACGGCAGGTGATTCGCTTAAGAAATGTGCCCAGAAAAGGCCGTGAAATGAGGCAGAACTCACTTAACGACTGCTTTGCTCTGCAAGAGAAATTTCGGGCTCAATCGTGGTCGTAAGTTGAGGACTTCCTGTACGAAAAGGCAGGCAAGGTAATGAAAAGCCAAATGGGAAAAAAAAATGGCTTATGTGTGTCTGCCTGTGTGAAATCCCGGGTGCTACTAAATGAAAACGTCCTTCTTTAATTAAGATATATTTCTTCAACCCGATTGCATTGAAATCACCTTGAGGCTATCTGAAACACACCGGAGGCGTTAGATAATAAAATGCGCTTTATTACTTTTATTTATTGCCCGGCGAGCAATTGTGAATCAACCAAGCCAAGGTGAAGGAAAGCAAGAGAAATATTTGTATTTTCCTCTTGCTGGTTGGGAATGGGTGGAAATTCCAAAAGGAACACCTGAGGAATACAGCGGGTCCTCAATTTACGACCACAGTTCAACCCCAAATATTTATTTATTTATTGGTTCGATTTATATGCTGCCCTTCTCCGGAGACTCAGGGCGGCTTACAATGCATTAAGCAATAGCTTTCATACTTTTGTATATACCTGCTTAGTAGGGCTTTTGGGGCCCCCCCAAGCGGTGTTCTTTTTTTTATACAAAGTCAGCTTATTGCCCCCCACAATCCGGGTCCTCATTTTACCTCCCTCGAAAGGATGGAAGGCTGAGTCAACCTTGAGCCTGGTGAGATTTGAACTCGCAATAATTGCAGGCAGCTGGTGCTAGTTAACAGCACTTTAATCTGCTGCGCCACCAAGGCTCTATCTAATATTGAGATAGATGTTAAGTAGGTTTTGCCCAGAGGTGAAATCTGAACCGGTTTACTACTGGTTCGCTGGCTGCGCATGTGTGCCATGTGCCAAAGGCGTGCTATGCGCACACATGCACTGTGCACACAAAATCCAAGCTGTGCATGTGCAAGCACAGTGCACGCCAAAAGGAGACTTGGGAAGGTAAGTAGAACAGCGCAAGGGGTGGGGGGCGTGATCAGCTGTGCTGCGTGATCATCGGAACCTTTTTTTTACCCTTTAAAAGCATTTTTTTACTACCCGCTTTGGCAAAAAGGGAAAAAAAAAAAATGTTTAAAAAAAAAAAAAAAAAAAAAAAAAAAAAGGCTCCAGCGATCGTGCGGCACAGCTGTGATTGTTGGAGCCTTTTAAAAAACTTGTTTAAAGCATTTTTTACTACCTATTCGCCGAACCGGTAGTAAAAAAAATGCTAAAAAAGTTAAAAAGAAAGTTCCAACGATCGCGTCGCTCAGCTGATCATCGGAACTTTTCTTTTTACATTTTTTACTACCAGTTCAGCGAACCAGTAGCATTTTTTACTACCGGTTTGGGCGAACCAGCCTGAACTGGTAGCATTTCAGCCCTGATTTTGCCCCATTTTATGACATTTCTTGCCACCGTTGTTAAGCGAATCACTGTAGTTGTTTAGTAAAGGTAGTCCTTGATGTACGACTACAGCTGAGCCCCAATGTTTTGTTGCTAAGGGAGATATTAGTTCAGGGAATTTGCTCCATTCTACGACCCTTCTTGTCATCGTTGTTAAGTGAATCACAGCCGTTGTTCAATTAGGAACATGGTTGTTAAATGAATCTGGCTTCCCTGTTGTCTTGTGCCTTTGCTAAAGGCCACAAAAGGAGATCACGTGACCCCAGGACAATGGTCATAAATGCGAGTCGGTGGCCAAGCATCTAAATTTTGATCACATGACTATGGGGATGCTATAGCGGTCGTTAAGTGTGAAAAACGATCATAAGTCACTTTTTCCAGTGCCGTTGTCCCTTCAAATGGTCACTGAATGAAGTGTTGTAAGTCAAGGACTACCTGTAATACGGTTGTTAAGTGAATCTGGCTTCCTCATTGACTTTGCTTGTCCAAAGGTCGCGTAAGGGGATCGTGTGACCTCGGGACGCAGCAACCGTCATAAATATGAGTCAGTTGCCACGTGTCCGAATTTTGATCATGCAACCATGGGGCTGCTGCAAGGGTCGTGAGTGTGAAATACTTCCTTAGGATTTAACGGTCCTAAGTCGCTTATGTCTTAACTGTTAGTAAACAATTTGTTGTAAGTCAAGGACTGTCCGTAAAGGAAGAACAACACAATTTTCACAGGAAGAGTAATTTATTCTTTATGCCATGGCAGCCATCTTCTCTGACCTTGGAGTCGTAAGCCAAAATATCAGGACTCTGTCCCCAAACTGCTTAGATTCCCTTAAGCATGTTCACACCTCACCTTTAATCCAGTTTAAGGGTCTATCGCAATGATGGCTAACCTTTTTGCCATCGCATGCCAGGAGGGGGGGGGCTGCGCACGCCCATACCCACACCCATAATTCTGTTGTGGCTCCGTTACCTGAGCCTGTGTCATCGGCAGGAGAGGACTCCGAGAGTGAAGGAGAGGAGTTGGCAAGGCCTCCCTCTCCAGGACCCTCCTCTCTGGCAATGCCTTCGGTGTCCGCCGAAGGGCAAGAGATAGGGCCGGGGCCAAGCACGTCCACGCAGCCACAGATGGACAGTGATGAGGATAATGAGTCTTGGCTGGATCCACACCAGCGTCGCAGAGAAAAGGCGTGCCTGAGATTAGGCTGAGTCACTGGACCACTCCCCACAAGTTATAAAAGGGAGCGTGGTGGTCAGTCAAACCTTGTGACGAACAAAGCTGAAAGCTTCCACGCCATTCTGCATTGCCGGACTTTTTGCTATAGACTTTGCTGGATTATCTCTGGACTTGATTGACTCCGTAATTATTGAGCTGTTTCTTTTGATGTACCAGAAGTGGGGAGAAGTTATCTCTCCTCTTTGTAACTAATAAACTCCTGGCAGGCAGCCACTAGGTTGTTGCCAAGGTCCGTTATCATAAGGAAAACGATTTTGCCGGCTGGTTTGGTCTTTAACTCTTGAACGTCTGTTGGTGTGTGTGCGTGTGGTTGGGGACAGAACAAATTCTATGCGCCCTGCCTCCACATGACCCCCCCGCTCCTGGCATGCGATGGCATGGTAGGCCTGTTTTTTGCTCTCCCCAGCCTCCAGAGCCTTTCTAGGAGTCTGGGGAGGGCAAAAACGGCCTTCCCCACCTCCCTGGAGGCCCTCCGGAGGCGAAAATGGGTCATTTTCAGCCTCCGGGGGTGGGGAAGGCCATTTTCGCCCTCCTCAGACTCCTAGAAAGGCTCCGGAGGCTGGGGAGAGAGAAAAACGGGCCTTCCCCACCACCACCCGAGGCCCTCCGGAGGCAGGAAACAGCTTGTTTCCCTACTCTGATGGGCCCAGAAGGCCCGAAAATCAGAGCTGACCTCGCGTCCCGACCAATATGGCGACGCATGCCACCTGTTCGCCATCACGGGTCTAGCGGTTGCATTCACACAATCTGCTGTGCTTGGTTAGATTAAAGCCGGATCGCCGCTGTTACTAGCTACTGTATGAACTTGGTTTGTCATGGACGGTCCAATCTATGGAGCTGTTGTGGCTCCGTTGCCTGAGCCTGGGCTATCGACAGATGCAGACTCTGAGAGTGAGGGAGAGGAGTTGGCAAGGCCTCCCTCTCCAGGACCCTCCTCTCTGGCAATGCCTCCGGAGGACACCGAAGGCCAAGAGATAGGCCCAGAGCCAAGCACGTCCCCACAGCCACAGGTGGACAGTGACGAAGGAGATAAGTGCTGGCTGGACCCTCGGCAGAGGCGCAGGGAGAAGCGTGCGCAGCAGAGGGGAAGACGTGCCAGAGATTACCTGAGTCACTGGACCACACCCCACAGGGTATAAATGTGGGTGTGGTGGCCGGTTCAGTTTGTGACGAGCAAAAACTGGAAATAATCCATGATCTCTGCGTTACTGGACTTTGCCTGCTTTATTGGACTGCATTTGGATTAATCCTTGTATTGTTGAAACTCTGCCTGTTTTATCGGAATGCTTGCAGTCTAATCTTTGTTTTGTGTGAGTAAAGTCTGAATTGGCAGCTAGCCACTGGGTTGCTGCCTGCTTTATCTTCAAAGAGTTTTGTCGTGTGGCTTATTAACTCCGGGCCGTCTGTGGGGGTCCGTGTGTGGTACGGGGACAGAACAGGAGCGAATCCAGAAAATGGCTCCCTCCAGAAGTTGTGGGAGCTCCATCATTGGGGGTTTTTAAAGTAGAGACTAGACAGCCCTTTGTCCAGTGATGGGATTGAAATAATTTAACAACCGGTTCTCTGCTCTAATGACCAGCTGGGTGGGCGTGGCCATGGTGGGCGTGGCCATGATGGTGTGACAGACAGCACTTGGCTTCCTGCATCCCCAGGGACCAAAAACAGGCCACAAGGGGGAGGGGGATACGCCACCCACCCCTGTGCCCGTTTTGGGCCTAATAGGCCTCTCTGCAGCCTCCTGGGAGTAAAAATGGGCTGCTGGGGGGGCACACTGCCCCTCCGCGCCCCATTGTGGGCCTACCTGGGAGCCAAAATGGCGCATGTGGGAACTCCTGGAAGGGGCGGGGTGGAGAGGGGCAGAGCCAACCAGCAATTTAACTACCAGTTCTTCTGTACCAGCTTCAAACCGGCCCGAACCGGCTGAATCCCATCACTGCCTTTGTCCGGAATGGTATAGGGTCTCCTGCTTGACCAGGAGGTTGGACTAGAAGACCTCCAAGCTCCCTTCCAGCTCTGTTAATCCGTACAGGTAGTCCTCGATTTATGACATTTTAAATTTTTATTAAGTTATAAGGTATTATAAAATACAAAAGCAAATAAGAGGACAGTGAGGGGGAAGGGAAAAGAGGAGAGAAAAGTGAGGAAGGATAGGGAAAGAAAAAGAAAAAAAAAAAACATTGACTTCCGACTCTCTCTGTTACAGTAGAATAAGGCATGGACCACAAATCACAACTTTTTGTTTTACCATAATAGTGTGAACCAGTCATTTCTATAAAAATCTATCAATCTAATCTGTAAAACCCAAAATTAAGAGTTACATTCTTTTCCACCTCAAGCACAAAGTTCAGAAGCGGTTTCCACGTGGAAACAAAAGTACTTGTATTCTTTTCTTTAAGCAAAGTAGTCAGTTTTTGCCATTGCAGGCCAACTCCATCAGCTTCTGCAACCGTCCTTCCGTAGTAGGAATTGAAGGTAGTCCTCGACTTATGACCCCAATTGAGTCCAAAAATCTCCATGGCTAAGCAAGACAGTTGTTAAGTGGAGTTCTGCTCCATTTGATGACTTTTCTTGTCACGGTTGTTAAGTGAATCACTGCCGTTGTTAAATGAGTAACCCGGTTGTTAAGCGAATCCGGCTTCTCCATTGAGTTTGTTTGTCAGAAGGTCGCAAAAAGGGGGGTGACTTGACCCCCCCAGGACGCTGCAACATAAATGAGCCAATTTGCAAGCATCCAAATTTTGCAAGCATCTGGCCATAAGTATGGAAAATGGCCATAAGTCCGTGTTTTCAGCGCCGTCGTAACTTTGAATGATCCCTAAATGAACTGTTGTAAGTCGACGACCACCTGTATCACAATAACAGAGTTGGAAGGGACCTTGGAGGTCGTCTAGTCCAACCCCCTGCTAAGGCAGGAAACCCTCTACCCTTTTCAGACAAATGGCTGTCCGAAAGTCGTCAAACTCCTGGGGACACGGCAACCGTCGTAAATATGAGTCAGTTGCCAAGGTACTGAATTCTGATCACAGGACCAAGGTGTATGCGACAACGGTCGTTAAGTGTGGAAAACGGTCATGAGTCACTTTTTTTCAATGCCGTCGTAAGTTTGAACAGTCACTAAACGAACTCGAGGACTTCCCGTAATTCTCACCACAAGCATTTAGCTCCTGGCATGAAGGCCGCCAAGGAGACCGACCCGTTGGGAAAGCCCTCAGAGATACGGGTCTTCTCGTTCAGCCATGTTGTCTCCTGCAGGGCCCCCTTCGTTGTCCTCCATGTCAGACAGGGGCAGCCCATGGCTTCCTGGGACGTGCTCCAAAACGGTGCTGCGGACGGTGGTGCGCAGGCTGCTGGGCGAGCGCTTGTGGGACCTCCATTTCTGGGACCGCCTGTGGCACATCACGTCCTTGAACATCTCGCGGAAGCGGCTGGACATCAGGTTGTAGAGGATGGGGTTGGCGGCCGAGCTCAGGTAGAAGAAGACCCCCGAGAGGATGTGAACGTACTGGAACATGCGTTGCATCTGGTCCGTCCAGTGAGTGACGAAGCTCCAGACGAGACGGTCGGTGTGGAAGGGGGCCCAGCAGATGCCAAACACGACCACCAGCATGACTGAGGGGGAGAAGGACGGGAAAGCAAAGTTAGAGACAGAGGATCTTTTGGATTGATTGGCTGATTGGACAGAAGGTCCTCCCGTTCTAGCCGATCGACGGAGAAGAATCGAAAAGAATAGAAATAATAGCTCGGGATTGAACTGACGGATCCTTGGGGCTCTCTGAGCTTGGCAGTTTTTCTTGCAGATATTTCATTAAGGTCAAGGTAAAGGTTCCTCTCGGACATCTGTGCTAGTCGTTCCCGACTCTAGGGGGCGGTGCTCATCTCCCTTTCAAAGCCAAAGAGCCAGCGCTGTCTGAAGACGTCTCCGTGGTCATGTGGCCGGCATGACTCAATGCCAAAGGCGCACGGAACGCTGTTCCCTTCCCGCCAAAGGTGGTCCCTATTTTTCTACTTGCACTTTTTACGTGCTTTCGAACTGCTAGGTTGGCAGAAGCTGGGACAAGTTAACGGGAGCTCATCCCGTTATGCAGCAATAGGGATTCGAACCGCCAAACTGCCGACCTTTCGATCGACAAGCTCAGCGTCTTAGCTACTGAGGTACCGCGTCCCTCATAGACGCGGTGAAATGAATTTGGTAATGAAAAAACATTTCATTACCAAACTAGAAAACATCATCAGTGCTAGGAGGGAGTGGGGTTTGTGGAGAGGAGGAGGAGGAGGAGGAGGAGGACCCCGACTGTGGAGTCTTTGGTACTCTGTGAGCTTGGCTGTTTCTTGCAGACATTTCATTACCCAGTTAGGTAACATCATCAGTGCTAGAAGGGAAGAGGGTTTGCTCCCTTTTTGTCCAACTGCTCTGTCAGTTGGACAACTCAAAGAATTTAACAGTAAACAACAATCTCATCAAGGAACTACAAAGAATTACTAAGAACATTTGCACTGACATTGACAGCGCTAGCCACTACCGTATTTCCCCGAAAATAAGACCCTGTCTTATATTTTTTTGAACCCCGAAATAAGCGCTTGACCTTATTTTCAAGGAGGTCTTATTATTTTGGGGCGCATAGAGAAAGACGGGGCTCCTCTTGCCGTCTTACCTGATTTCCAGCTCTGTCTCCCTAACCCTAACCAGAGGAAATGGCAGGGACCATGCATGCGTTTAAATATTTTCGGGGAGGGCTTATTTTTGGGGAAATACGGTAGTATATAAAAAGAGAACAAACCCCACTCCCTTCTGGAACTGATGATGTTCCCTAGTTGGGTCATGAAACGTTTGCAAGAAAACAGCCAAGGACCCCACCGCCCTCCTTCCTCTTCCTCTTCCTCCTTGTCCCCTTCGCCTCCTCTCCGCAAATCTCACTCCTTCTAGCACTGATAAGGTTACTTAGATAGGTCATGAAACGTCTGCAAAAACCAACCAAGCTCAGAGAGCACCCAAGAGCCCACAGCCCTCCTTCCTCTTCCTCTCCTCAAATTCCACCCCCTTCAAGCACTGATGATGTTCCCTAGTTGGGTCATGAAACTGTTGCAAGAAAACCACTCAGCTCAGAGAGCACCAAGGACCTTCCAAAGGTAGATAAAATCAGGACTTGCATCGAGATCCGGAAAAAGAGAAGGTTCTCTCCTACGCATTGTAACATTAAAGGGGAGACCGAGTGGCGAAACAGTGAAAGTGCTTAGTTACCATCAAGGAGATACGGGTTCTAATCCTCTAATTCCTTCGGTTCATATATAATCTTGGGCTATTTTCTTCAGTTGTGCTCACACTCTTTGTGTGTTGTGCAACCTGTTTGTCGGTTTGCGGCTCTCTGCATTGGGCAATTTCAGAAGATAGGTTGATCGACGTATTTTTAAAAATATTTGTTTATTTATGCATGTATTAAATTTCAAAACCGCTCATCAATCTCGCGGAGAGGGACTCCCTCCGGGGGACACTGAGGGTTATTAAAGCTGGTAATTCAATTACCAGGTTCAGCTTGTCGTTCGAGCTTAACCGGGATGTAGGCTGTGAAAATGTCAAGACCTATTGCAGTGTTGCATTTTCGCATTTGCTAACCGCCTCTAATTTTCTGCCTGATTGCAATATTTCTGTCAGCACTTCAAGCTGCATTTACTCTAGTGCTGACATAAGAAGGAGAAGCGGAGGCGTCTGGAAAGGGACGTTTGACTTTTCACCTACTTATTTTCCCTGGAGATAATATCCCCTAGGAGATGGGATGGGAGGGGGGAAATTCCTTTGAGATGGAGCAGTAGATTAGGGGTAGAGTGACTTGGAAGATGGCCGATGAGTGCAGGGGAGTGGGGAACGGAAAGGGAGGGTTTTGGGTCTGGAAGTCAGTGTTGGCTACGATGGAGTCGGAGTTAGAATGTCGTGCTTAATAAATGGGAGTTTTTCTTCAAAGACCTTGTTTGAAATGCAATTTATTTGAGACGACCTCGAAACCTGACAATTTCGTTTTGTTGCCGTTTCTTCCCTCCTGAGGAGGGGAAAATCAATTGTAGGGGGTGAAAGATGATTCAAGCAAGCGAATGGTTCTGGGCGTGAATTCGAAAGGGATCTTCAAATCAGCCGCTTTGCTCTCCTGCTGAAATGTACGCTTAACAGAATGACCATGTTGGAAGGGACCTTGGAGGTCTTCTAGTCCAACCCCCTGCTCAAGCCAGGGGTCGGCAACCTTAAAACTCAAAGAGCCACAAAGGTCTTAACCGGAAGCTCCCGTTCAATTCTAGAGCCGACCGGAAGTCCGGTTCCCCCACCATAGAGTCTCCTCTTAGCACGGCGTCCTGTTTCCTCTGCCGACTGGAAGTCCAGTTCCCCCACCATAGAGTCTCCTCCTATAGCAGCATCCTTTTTCCTCTGCCTGTCCTAACCGAAAGCCCTATCAACTGTGGAGCTGACCAGCAACAGGGAGCTGAAAGAGCCACATGTGGCTCCAGAGCTGCGGGTTGCTGATTCCTGCCCTAGATCAGAGGCACCCAATCTTTGGGGCATCAAGGACTGGTTCCTTGTAGGGAGGTTTTTCCGCAGATCTGCATCCCCATGGATGGGGTTTCGCTTGTTTGCGCGGACTGGTTTTTGGCATGTCGTTGTTGTGGCCCGCCAGCGGCAGCCGATTCAGACAGTGAGGAGGTTGGGGAGGAATGTGGGCCAGTCCTGGAGTCTGGGGAAGGCTCGGATGAGGGCTCTGCGTCGGAGGCAGAGAGGGGGCCAAGGGCATCTGGTAGTTCTTTGCTGCCTCCGGAGTCTGACATCAGCGAGGCAGAAGAACGGCGGGAACCTGTTCCCAGTGTGTGGATGCGCAGAGCTGCCAGGAGACAGGAACAATTAAGGAAACAGGGTCGACTTGGGAGTAAGGCTTGGAGATGATTGGCCCCTCCCATAAGACATAAAAGAGAAGCGAACGGGAGGTGAGCTTTTGCAGGAAGCAATTAGTTCATCTGGTCGGTAAAAGCTGTGGAAAAGTTCCATTTGACTCTGTGCTAAGTTTGGCCTTGCCCTGCCTGTGGCAATTAGTTCTCTGGCAGCATTCCAAGGGAGATAAGGTGGGTGTTTGTAAACACTCCCCTGCAAGACTGTTTGAGAAGCCTTTCGGACTGGGAATGACAATAATTCACAGCCACATGAATTAAAGAGGTTTGCCAGGACTAAGATTGCGCTGTATACTTTCTAGGGAAGCCTAGGTCAGAACAGACATGACCCGATGCCAGTCCATGGAACAGGGGTTGGGGACCCCTGTCCTAGAAAATTCCAGACAAATGGTTGCCCAATCTCTTTTTAAAAACCCACAACTTCTTGTGGCAAGCAGTTTCACTGGTTAATTGTTCTCACTGTCAAGAAAGTTGTCCTTATTTCTAGGTTGCTTCTCTCCTTGATCAGTTTCCATCCATTGCTCCTTGTCCTGCCTTCGGGTACTTTAGAGAATAGAGTTTCCTGCCTAAATAAGGGGTTGGACTAGAAGACCTCTAAGGTCCCTTCCAACTCTGTTATTCTATTTCTATTTCTTTGTGGCAACCCCTCAAATACTGGAACACTGCTATCATGTCACCCCCCCGTCCTTCTTTTCATTAAACTAGACAGACCCAATTCCTGCAACAGTTCATCATATGGTTTACCTTCCAGCCCATTACAGGTAGTCCTCGACTTATGTCGTAAAATGGGGCAAAACTTAACAAATCCTCACTTAACCGCCTACATTTTGGGCTCCGTTGTGGTCGTAAGTAGAGGACTACCTGCAATCATCTTTGTTGAACTTCTCTGCACTTTTTTCTAGAGTTTCAACATTATTTTAATATCACGACGACCAGTGGTGAAATTCAAACATTTTCCCTTACCGGTTCTGTGGGCGTGGCTTGGTGGGAGTGGCTTGATGGTGGCGGTCATGTGACTGGATGGGTGTGGCCTTTTTTTTTTTTTACTTTTTAAGCATTCTTTAACTAAAAAAAGTTTTTAAAAGTTCTGACGATCAGCTGTGACAATCAGCTGTGCCCACGATCGTCGGAATCTTTTTAAAAACTTTTTTAAAGCATTTTTTTACTACCGGTTCAGGCAAATAGGTAGTAAAAAATGCTTTAAAAAGTAAAAAAAAAAAAAAGGTTCCAACAATCAGCTGTGACAATCAGCTGTGCCACGCGATCGTCGTTTTTTTTTAACTTTTTTAAAGCATTGTTTTACTACCTATTCGCCCAAACTGGTAGCATTTTTTACTACCAATTTGGGCGAACCGGCCAGAACCGGTAGCATTTCACCCCTGACAGCGACCGAATTTGGGTTCAGAATTGGATGCATTTCATTAATGGACATATTTGTCTGCCTCCACAATCAAATGGACTCTTAGTGGCTTCATTTTGAAAATGCAATACGGACGGACCCCGTGTGAATATTAAAACGGAGCTATAAAAATAGAAAGAGGATAAGTACTTTGCATGCATTTGCATGCATTTGCATTCAATAATACTTAAGAGCAGTGGATTATGGGCGCTGAAGCTTTGCGGCGAATTGCTAATCAGTTCTGCCCTCTGATCTTGTACTCACAATTTTTCTCCTTCCTTTTTGTGGCTTGCTGAGGTTTTATGCTGCTCGGAATCAAGTTTTTGGCATGCTTTGGAACTGAATAAACAGGTTAGAAGAGGAATAGATAAAATACTGGAGGAAATATAGGCAATCCTCGACTTACACTTCACTTAGTGACGGCTCAGATACAACGTCACTGAAAAAAGTGACTTACGACCATTTTTCACACATGACCATTGCAGCATCCCCCTGGTCACGCGATTTACATTTGAATGCTTTTGACAACGGATTCACATTTACGACGGTTGCAACGTCCCGGGGTCACGCGATCCCTTTTTGCAACCTTCTGACGAGCAAAGTCAACGGGTGAAGCCAGATTCGCTTAACGACCGTGTGACTAGTTGAACAGCTGCGGTGTTTCACGTAACAAATGTGGCGAGAAAAGTGATAAAAAGGGGACCAACTCCCTTAACAAAGGTTTCGCTCAGCAACATAAATTTTGGGGTCAACTGTGGTCGTAACTCAAGGACTACCTGTAATATAGATTGTCCTCGATTTATGTCATTTTAGGAGCAGAATTTCTATTGCTAAGGAATTCTTGAGTGAATTGCTAAGCGGGCCATGCTCAGTTTTACAACTTTATTTGGCATGGTTGTTAAGCGAATCGCGCAGTCGTTAAGCAAATCCAGCTTCCCCCATTGACTTGGCTGGTGTGGAACCTGCTGGGAAGTTTTTTACGTGCTTTCAAACTGCTAGGTTGGCAGAAGCTGGGACAAGTAACGGGAGCTCACACCGTTACGCGGCACTAGGGACTCGAACCGCTGAACTGCCGACCTTTCGATCGACAAGCTCAGCGTCTTAGCCACTGAGCCCCATTTTCTTCCCTACGTCAACCCAAATTGGAAGCCTCTTCAGACGCCCAACTCTGGGTTCTAGATACTTGGGGGGGGAGGGCTTCCCCTTCAACTTACACAACATATTGGTCACCTGCCTCCGCCGAGCTTTCTTCTGCTGGAGGCGGACGCTGTGGTAATCGGAGCGGCTTCCCGTTTTGGCCTCCAGGGCCTCCAGCAGCTTCTCCTTCCGCAGCTGCAGGCCGATGAGCAGATACAGGACGCTGATGACGGCCATGGGGATGAAGAAGAAGATGATGGTCGTGACCTGGATGAGGAGGTTGTAGACCAAGGGCGACTTCACCAGAGTGCAGGTATCCGAATCGGGAACTACACCCCATCCGGGCACGTAGAGAGTCTGTATCCCGTGTAGGCTGGTGTTCGGGATGGAACAGATGACGGAGAAGATCCAAACCATGAGGATGACCTTCTGGGCGTGGTTCTTGGTCACCACGTACTTGGCTTTGAGCGGGTGGACCACGGCAATGTAGCGTTCCACGCTGAGGGCCGTCACGTTGAGGATGGACGCGAAGCAGACGGCCTCGAAGAGCAGGGTCTTGAAGCAGCAGCCCCCGGCTCCTAAGAGGAAGGGGTAGTTGCTCCACATCTCGTAGATCTCCAACGGCATGCCGAGGAGGAGCACCAGGAGGTCCGAGATGGCCAAGCTGAACAGGTAATAGTTGGTGGGAGTCCGCATGACGCGGTGCTGGACGATCACCAGGCAAGTGATAATATTGCCTACGGCCCCCACCACAAAAATCAGCAGGTAAGTAGTGCAGATGGGGATGAAGAAACCCGACCGGCGGGGACCCAAGTATCTTACGCGCAGTTCCTCGGCCGTCATGTTCAACAGCTCGGGGTTGAAGGGACTCAGTTTGTCCTCCGGCGTGCTGCTGTTGATCGAGTCTCCAGAAGCCGCCGGGCCCGGCAGCTCCATGGGGAGGTGGCGAATTGGAAGTCCAGCTTGGAGCAGTTGGCCGAAGATGGCAGTCGTTAAGGGAAACATGCGGTCATTAAGCGAATTTGGGTCTCCCCCTCTCCGTTGAATCAGGCTGGAGAAAGAGAAGAGAAGTAGTTAGCAAGCTGTGGGGATGGGGTGGAGGGGGGACAAGTCCGAAGGCCAGTTTTTAGGATATACGTAGGCAGGGAGTCCTCGATTTACGACCGCAATTGAGGACAACATTTCTCTTATCGATAGCAATAGCACTTAGACTTATATACCGCTTCACAGTGCTTTCCAGCCCTCTCCAAGTGGTTTACAGAGTCAGCCTCTTGACCCCAACAATCTGGATTCTCATTTTACCCACCTCGGCAGGACGGAAGGCTGAGTCAACCTTGAGCCTGGTGAGATTCGAACTGCCAAATTGCAGGCAGCCAGCAGGCAGCAGAAGTAGCCTGCGGTACTGCGTTTTACGCATTCTCTTGCTCAATGAAACATTTCTTAAGTGAGCTTTGCCTCGTTTTGCGACTTTTCTTGCCACCGTTGTTAAGTGAACCGCTGCAATTGTTCAGTTAGTAACACGGTTGTTAAGCGAATCTGGCTTCCCCGCTGACTTTGCTTGTCAGAAGGTCGCAAAAGGGGATCACGTGACCCCAGGGACACTGCCGTCATAAATAGGAGTCAGTTGCCAAGCGTCTGAATTTTGAACATGTGACCATGGGGGGGGGATGCTGCAATGGTCGTAAGCATGAAAAACGGTCATAAGTCCCTGTTTTCAATGTTGTTATAACTTTGAACAGTCACTAAATGAACTGTTGTAAATCGAGGACTACCTGTATCACAATAACAGAGTAGGAAGGGACCTTGGAGGTCTTCTAGTCCAACCCCCTGCTCAGGCAGGAAACCCTATAGTACTGTTTCAGACAAATGGCTGTCCAGTCTCTTCTTAAAAGCCTCCAGTGATGAAGCACCCACAACTTCTGGAGGCAAGCAGTTCCACTGGTTAATTGTTCTCGCTGTCAAAAAATTTCCCCGTGATCACAACTTGTGGGGTTTCTTTGGCCAGTTTCCAGTAAAGCATAAAATAACACCCAGTGGGGAAAAATAGGATCCATTTAAAGATCCTGTGATTTGCTTAACAACCATGCAGTTCACTTAACCACCATCTAAAAAAGTGCCATAAAATCGGTTCGACTCAACTCACAACTATAACTCTATGATGAAAATTCCGCTTCCAACGGTAGTTGTAAGTCAAGGATACTGCTGACCAACCTCCTCTGCAGGAAGTCCTTGGTTACAAAGATTCGTTTAGTGACCGCCAGAGTGGTGGGATTCAAATAATTTAACAATCGGTTTTCTGCCCTAATGACCGGCTGGGTGGGTGTGGCCATGGTGGGTGTGGCCAGGGGGTGTGACAGGCAGCACTCCGCCTCCTGCACCCCCCTGGGAGCAAAAACGGGCTGTGGGGGCAGTGCTGCAGCTCCCTGCGTCCCGTTTTGGGCCTAGTAGGCCTCCCTGCACTTACCTGTGAGCCAAAACGGGGCATGTGGGGACTTCTGGGAGGGGAGGGGCCAGCCAGCTATTTAATAACTGGTTCGGCCAAAGTGGTGCAAACCGGTTGAATCCCACCACTGTTCTGTCCCCGTCTCACACACGCACACAAGCAGACAGCCGGGGGTTAAATAAACTGGCAGACAACCAACTCTTCCGATAAGAAGCTTGGCAGCAACCCAGTAGCTGCTTGCCAAGAACTTTACTCATAAACAAAATACACAGTCAAGAATTATCCAGTTCGTAAAATAAATCCAAGGCCGATAATGTTGTTTCTAAAGATGCAATGTGACTCGATAGTAGTTAGTTTTGTCCATCACAGAGTCTGAATGGCCACCTCACCCCCTTTTATACCCTGTGCGGTGTGGTCCAGTGACTCAGCCTAATCTCGGGCACGCCTTTTCTTCTGTTGCGTGCGCTTATCTCTGTGACGCTGGCGTGGATCCAGCCAAGACTCATTACCCTCATCACTGTCCACCTGTGGCTGCGTGGACATGCTTGGCCCCGGCCCGATCTCTTGCCCTTCGGCGGACACCGAAGGCATTGCCAGAGAGGAGGGTCCTGGAGAGGGAGGCCTTGCCAACTCCTCTCCTTCACTCTCAGAGTCCTCTCCTGCCGATAACACAGGCTCAGGTAACGGAGCCACAACAACCACTGATGACTGCTCAAAGTTACAACGGAAAAGTGACTTGTGATCATTTTTCACACCCGTTGCAACATCCCCATGGTCGCATGATCGAAATTTGGATGCTTGGCCACTGGCTGATATTTAGGACAGTTTCGGTGTTGTATGATCGCCATTTGCAACCTTCCCAGCCAGCTTCTGACAAGCAAAGTCAATGGTTTTTTTTTCCAAATTCACTTAATGACGGCATGATTCACTTAACAACTGTGGCAAAAAAAAAGAGAGATCATAAATGGGACACAACTCACTGAACAATTGTTTTGCTTATCAATGGAAATTTGGGGGGTTAGTTGTGGTTGTAAGCTGAGGACTATCTACGGCCAATTTCCTGTAATCCTGGCAACGGTCCCCATTTTGCGAAGTAAAAAAGAATAAATTCTTCTTTTTTTTCCTGTGCCATAGCCGTCATTGGACGTTGGCGAACCTATTTTTATCAATGGTCAGGGAAGAAATTTGAGCCCCACATATTACTTGCTTTTCCAAATTAAACAGAGCAATATCAAAGTGCTTGAAATGATCCGGGTATAATTTCTTTTGTGCATAAAATTTTCCCGCAAAAAAAAATGCCATTGCTTGTTATTATTTTCATGGCATTAAAAAGTGGACATGTGGCGATTTTCAATAAAATATTAATTCCCCTAACCAAAGGGGAAGAGAGACGGAATTGCAAGCTGCTGCTTGTTAAAAAAAATACACGCAGCTCTTGATTTTAGCCAGTTGGGAAATTAGGAAAAGAAGAGAAAATAAAAATTGAAAGTCAAATAAACACAGTTTTATTACCAGGACTGATCTAATTCTTTTGCAGAAGATTGAAATTTACTATTTTTTAGAGAAAAAGCACAGAAATGAAACTGATTCCTAAATAAACGGAACAATGTGCAATTTAGGTGCAATAAATGTATGATTATCATTTGCAATGAAATTTAACTGAATGGCATTAATTGCCACAGCAGGACACAATGAAATTGTCGTGATTGAACATCTGGTCAAAATTAGCAATTGCCCACCAATTTCTATTTCTTTGAAACTCTATTTCTCCCCAATTTAAGATCATAAGAAGCGAGAACAGTCGTAACGGGAGATTAAAAACTCACCGTAATTGTACAATTCAAAAACCCCGAATCTTATGATTCCAGGGAACTAACGAAAAAAGACAAAATGGGGATGTTTTAAGCGAGACATTTGTGAAGTAAGTTTTGCCCTGCTTTACGATCTTTCTTGTCCTGGTTGTTAAGTGAATCATCACAGCTGTTAAATTAGGAATGATGTTGTTAAGTGAATCCGGCTCCCCCGTTGACTTTGCTTGTCAGAAGGTCACAAAAGGGGCCACGGGACACTGCAACCGTTGTAAGTATGAGTCGGTGGCCAAAAGTGTCTGAATTTTGATCACGTGCCCATGGGGAGGCTGCAATGGTTGTAAGGGTGAAAAACGGTCGTAACTCAAGTTTTTTCAGCGCCGTTGTAACTTTGAACGGTCACTAAATGAACTGTTGTAAGTCGAGTAGTGTAGTATAGTGTAGGAGATGGATCGCCAGGTGGGAGGGGCTGCATTCCAGAGGAGGAAGAGGCAACTCAGCCCAGAGATCGTGTGTGAGAGAATGAGGGTGAAGACAACTCCTTCCTAACAGTCCCCAGAGAATATTGCAGATTCAGATTAAAGTCGAGTCTTCAGCATGGCAATATTTTTTTTTTTTCTGTAGGTGTGAAACAATAAAGATCTCAGCTTGGAAGAATCGCCATGTGTCATTCCTGGTTTGAGAAGAGGGGGTCAACCCAGTGGTGGGATTCAGCCGGTTCGAGCCGGTTCGGGTAAACCGGTTGTTAAATTGCTGGCTGGCCCTGCCCCTTCCTGGAGACACCACGTGCCCTGTTTTGGCTCCTAGGAGGCTGCAGGGAGGCCTACTAGGCCCAAAATGGGGCACAGGGGAGTGTGGCACACACACACCCCGGCCGTTTTTGCTCCTAGGTGGCTGCAGGGCGGCTTACTAGGCCCAAAATGGAGCCTGGGGGGTGCCCCCCCCGTGGCCTGTTTTTGCTCCCAGGGGGTTGCAGGAGGCTGAGTGCTGCCTGTCACACACCCCTGGCCACGCCCACCATGGCCACACCCACCCAGCCGGTCATTAGGGCAGAAAACCGGTTGTTAAATTATTTGAATCCCATCACTCTGGCGGTCACTAAACGAATCTTTGTAACCAAGGACTTCCTGCTCAGGAGATTGGCTAGCAGTATCCTTGACTTACAACTACCTTGGAAGTGGAATTTTCATCATAAATTATGTCTGTCACACACTCCTAGCCACGCCCACCGAAACAAAATAATTCTCTCAATTATTATCGCATTTGGAATGCCAAGGATATTCCAACTGCCGGTTGGCCAGAGAAGGAGGAAAGGAGTAACCAGGCAACCAGCCCATACCCAGATTCGACAATGTGATTTATTTTTGGGGAGAAAAGGGAGACTTTCACTTCCCCCCCACCCCCAAGTTTTTTAATTTTTTTAATTAAAAATAACAAATCAATGCGGGAACAGCGTGGCACCTGGGTGTCATAAATTCTAATACAAATAAAACTAATCAGGTTAATCATAATCATTGCATTCGATCCAGTGGTGAAATGTAAAATTTGTTACTACCGGTTCTGTGGGCGTGGCTTGGTGGTGGTGGGGTTAATATGACTGGGTGGGCGTGGCCAACTTTTTTTTTTTTTACTTTTAAAAGCTTCTGAGGATTCCAGCTGAGCCGCAAGATCATCAGAGGCTTTTTTTTTAACTTTTAAAAGCATTTTTTCTGCAACCTCTTCAGCCAAAGAGGTTGTAGAAAAAATGCTTTTAAAAGCCTCTGATGATTCCAGCTGAGCCGTGCAATCATCAGAGGCTTT